ATTAAGTGACTAACTGGGTGATTTCTTGACTGACTATAACTGACTTAATGAGGGAATAACAGCCAATAAGCCGACTGTCTGACTAACTGACAAAGTCGTTACCTGCTTGAGCAGCTGGAGTGGGGATAATCTGAGCAACAATCGCCGGTCCACGATAACGAGGTCGTATTTCAGCCGATGACCAATAACGAGGAGTAGGTCCAGTACAACCAGCGAATGCCATCGATCCTTTATAGGGAACATCGGCCATATCACCTTTAAATCCGATTCTCTCGAAAGACTTCGCAGCCAAGTATGCGTTGTTACCTGAGAATGTAATCAAGATTAGACGGTTAGTTAATGATAATAATAGAATATAGTGAGATGTGATATATTGCTCATGAGGTCGAAAATACTACAAGTGATGTTTGACGACTTCACTTGATCAATCCTCGCCTCATCTTTGAGTTTTGTAATCCTCTTCTAGGGTTTTCTTTAGGTACGTTTGTGGGGTGGGCGGTAGGGAGCCCCCCACTAATAACGGGTGCAAGGAGACTAACTGGTTTACCTCCCTCCCTCAAAAATAAGTAGCTAGAATGCTCAATGTGGTACCGGTAATTTGAGTGCCTTTAAAGTGCCTTCAATTTATTAGTACAGTGATTATGTCTTAAATAATGCAAGCTTTACCTTGTTCCTTTCCATTCACGTTCTGCGTAGCAACTAGAACCACGTGATCATCAGGGAGAGAGTCCAGGAAACGCGCCATTTCAGGTCCCTCCCCAGCATTGGTATTAAAGTTTTTAACWTCAATGAGTTCTCCGGTGGGATCCAGAACTGCGATATTATGGCCCGGTTTATTGGGGCAGTGCTCGACTCCGTTGACCATAATAGAAGCTTTCCCCAGTCCACCCTCATCATCACCACCTTCGCCGCGAAGAGCAAACTGAAGTTTCCCTATTTAACAAGAAAATCTTACTAAATAATGAGGCCGTGTTTAAGCCACAAAATCATATGGGACTGAAACGGCAACATAAGGCAATGCGCAATRACAACTAGAATCAACCATGACWAGGAAATGTAGTCCTCGACCCTTCTAAGCAGCTAAAATAACCCCATATCSATTTTCGCGGATTYCTTATTGAAACGACMCGGCCACCCATGATGGAATTATTCGATTTTTGCGGGAATAAATGCAGAGTGAGGACTAATTTTCCCATCATGCTTTGTTCTAGAGAAGTTCTTGAACCTTGCCTTAGCTACTAAAAAACAAATTGAATATCCCGCCAGCGCATGGCAATTAGTCGAACAGTCTAACTCCCTCATATTAGCATTCGTCTGTACCGTGATGTACATACATACTTCCAAAAAATATTCAAATTTACAAAGCTCATTTCCAAAAAAAAAATCACATTTAGAATCTGCAAATTTTGTAAGTTTTTCATACTGTGTGAACGCCAGCAAAACTGCAAAGAATTGAGTAGGGCTGAAAATCAGGCTAACAATGTAGCAGTTTAGCTGTTTAAACAAAGTATGTCAAGCTTACAAAATTTCCTACTTTTGATCTGTTTTCTTTTTGTGTGATTAGATCGATTTTAAAAACTCGTCCCYAGTCGTTTTCTTATTTTTGAAACGGTCAATGAACTCAATGCGTCATACCACTTGCTTTGAGCTGTTCATAGGCAGCCTGCTCTCTTGCTTTCGCTTGAGCCTCAGCAAACAGAGCAGCAGCATCCTTGTCAGCAATAGGCGGGCTTCCTTTGTCGCTTTTCTAAAGAACGAAAGCCGTTACCATAAAAAATGCAGCATAGTTAAAACGATAAGGATTTGAAACAAGTGGAAATTCYGTTAAACTATCGAAAGCACTAAGCCCTATAGCCTCGAGTGCTCGTAATATATTCTTTTATTCAGTAAAAACCCTATAGTAATGTCAACGTCTACCATTTTATGCGCAATAGAACTCTGAAGCTTTTACTTCATGTACCGTGTACGCAATGCATTGTAGGATATGTTTGGGACAGAACATGGTGGATTTCTCTTGTTTTCCCTAGAAACTGGTCTCACGATGCATCGAAAATCATGTTGTGACGTAAAAGTCTCAGAAGTCTATTGACGCTAAGAGAGACGTAAAAGAGAATCTACTGGATTACTGAATGCACAGCAAGCCGAAACACGAAGTCACGTGATTGCATTTACGACCTGTTTTTCTCTTCCATAGGTTTCTAGATATTACCTTGCCAGCTTGAACAGCACGTCTGATGTCCCTAATGCCTTCATATACCTAAAAAAGATAAACTATCAGACGTCTGTAGATTGTAACAAATAAAATGAGACAAATTTCATATTAAGTCAAAAACAAATGCGCAATCGCATTCTTTTACTAACACGCTTTCACTTGACTAATTTGCGCGGTTTCTAAATGAATAACATTGACTTCCCTTAATGACCGCCTCTTAAATAAGAACCTGAAAATAAGGACTGGATAGCTAGAACGCTACTTCAAAACGTTCAATAGCGAAAAGAATTTTGGTAATGAAAGAATAAACCGTCATCTTGGGTAAGTGCGTCATACATTTATAGTGTTATCAAGGTCAGGGGGCCCTTTTCGTGCTTTATGATATTTTCTGTAACAATTCCTTTAATGTTTTTTTTATTTTTTGCTTACCCAACCGCGATATATTTAAGGCACATAAAAAAGAAAGAGATACAAAATATACTAGAAAGCATATGAATTTAAGAAATTAATAAAACATCATAGAACACAAAACAACAAGAAGCAACTAAGAGAATAACGTGAAATGCACTTACAAGCTTAGAAGCGTCGACGAATTTYCCCTCYTCATGGTCACCATAAGGGTCTTTACCGASAGACTTTGTAGAAATCTCCACGGCTCGGGCAAAATTCGGCATCACTACARTACAAAACAGWCAAGATTATCCACATACCAATAGTCACCGAGCMACGTGAMGCCAAACTCACCTTCCTCTCGCATAGCTTTCACAGCTCTATGGACGTTATCAGTGTAAGGCCCTTTTTGATARTTTTCCATCTCGGCTGTCACTACTTCGTCAACGCGTTGGGTYCGTCCCCTTATTTGWCCAGCCGTGCGGTCTAGGGTCGCGGGATCCCTGTCTTGCAGTGATTGAATGCACTTATTGACATCCTCAAGAATGTGTGCCTCTGAAACAGGTCAATCCAGTTATTGTAGCTATAGCATAGTACATGTAMACCGCGCTAAATATATCTTGCTGCCTSCTTGCGCGGCGTTCTGCATACAGGTTTTACGAGACCACAGAGCATGACAAAATTTGTAGCTCGACCAATGCTAAATTAAGAGACCTTGGAAACATGTAAACACAAGTAATGTTAAGARAAGCGCGATAAATACTGTTGATACAAGAGTAAAACCTACACTGTCCATATGATTAACAGATAAATATTTCATAAATTACATACACACAGCCATATCAAATAATGTAGTGTGACTAAWTCACGTGATACACACACACTCGATGTTCAGATRAAGATGCTTGCTTACCTGATGCTGCCAAGAAGTCGTCAATGTTAGTGATGTCATCGACTGCTTCAGTGAGCACGCGCACTTGCTTCTCCCAAGCATCCTTAAAGACCGCCATGTTTTCTAAGGCAACTTTACTGCGTGGTCTTGCTGCCAGGGTACGAGCGGCATTGACAACCTATGCAACGACAGTATTASTTGTATATAATTAATGATTTAGAATATATGCTCTTGATAGTACGCGCTGATTACTGGATGAATCGTTTTTCCACTCAATATTCAAACCAYCCGGGAGTAAGTTTCATTGTTCGTTGTGTTTTCATTTCACGGTAAAATTCTTAGAAACAAAAACTATTTTTCCACGGGATTTGAATTGGGTGGTACATGACAACGCGTTAGCCGGTTAGGTCTATATAACAGTCTTGAAAGTCATTAGAAATAGATAATGGGACAAAAAGCACATTCTGTAAGCGGCTGCGGGCACTTCTCCTCACGAAGCGCGGCAAATCCTCTTCTACCAGCACCTTTATTATCGACAATGCAGTTTAGATTTTTGTCCAGCGTTTTGTACAAGATGACAGCACTGTACATTTATTCACAGTTCCCAGCCAATCAGAATGCGCGTCGTACAATCTCAAGTATATAATAAATCAACAGTGCAACCATGCGTGTTTCACTCGCACCTGTGGAGCAAGACTGTGGATGTTTCTTGCTGCTATTTTGACCATCTTGACCTTTTCTGGGTTACTTGACATCGAGCTTGCAAGGGTAGCAACCTAAAGACAGAAATACACTCATGAMACTGATCTAAATGGCTGCCATACACAAAGTATCCTAAAAAGTGACAGTAGTCGCTTACTTCCTCTAGTTTAGCAGCATGATCCATGAACAGCTTGCCACATTCCTCTGTTTCTCTTTCATTGCCGGCCTTGGCCGCCTCAATCATCATCAGAAGAGGAAGRTTGGTTTCCAGGAATGCATCAGAAATATTGTCAACAACAGCCTTTTGGAGCTAGAAATAAARGCACAAAAAMCCCTCAATATTTATTAGAATGCAACAGAACACTGACCAAATTACCATAACAMTTTTGTCATCAGTCATAACCTACAACGTTCMTCAATTTCAAGAGATGAAATGTCTTGATTATCATTATCATTATCATTCCATGTAAATAGTCTATTATATGATACTTTTTTTTCTCCTAAGATTACACAATTCTGGATGCATAGCATTTTATATTTATAGAACCAAACTACCTACATTATAGAATCAAACTATCTACAATATATAATTCTTTCAATGACCTTCATTTATCCTATCATCACTTCTCTAATCACTCATCCAGCACTCATTTGCTCCATTTTCTCAAATACATGTCTTCATTTCCACTTAAAAATCTCATTTTTTCATTCATCCATCCATCATGCCATTAACTCATTTCTTTTTCCATTCATGCAAAATTCCTTCCATTCCTTTCTTAAACTTTTTTAACTATTCTTCTGTCACTATAATTCATTCATAAATCGCTTCCTCCTTTTGTTAATGTCTCCCASTATTACTTTTAGCATCTTTCATCCAATCCTTCTTTCCTTAATTTTCTGATTTCTACCTTCATTTCAAGGACTCATCTGAACTTTATCCCAACAGAAGTAACGCATATTATTAATAAGAGCACATAAAGTGAAGAATRTACAATGCTTACCTGCCCCCTCAGTTCTCTTGTCCTGCTGCACATTTTCTCAATGGCTTGATCCAAAGGACCACCTGGGACAGGTTTCTTTTTGCCAGCAGCCTGCAATGGTAACATTGTATTATAAATCAGGTATTCATGTTTTAACAATWAGGTAATTCTTACCATGTACTCAGACAAAAGGTCTTGTAAGGCCTTCCTGACTGCATTACACTCAGCAATGATGTTATCCCTGGTGTTGTCTCTTGTACCCAAAGCATCGGCAAGCTGAGCAGCTCCACTGATGATCTTTTCMAGGCGTTCCTCAAGGGATGGACGAGTTCTCTTCTCAGAGTATGAGGCAGGGTCCATTGCTAGTTGGGACTGATGATTAAAGATAGAATGTATTGTAAAACTAAAGCATAATTTAACAAAAAATATTTTTATTGCATTTCAGTATTGCAGCAGCATAAATCTTCCCATATATGGATGAATAAGGACATGGGCAAACCGTTTTGACATGTTTGACTCTGCAGTAATGATGCTACTAGAGACCCTAGCCAAACTTCCCTTCCCTCCCTTGTAACATATAGTGGGTATAAGAGAGCCCTTATTTTGCCATAAATTTATAACTTACTATGTAGAAAATCAATATCACTTACATCAAAGTCATCTAGGGCTGCTGCTAGGGCACCAGGCATTTCTAGAGGATGTGGCTCACTTGGTCCTGTCGCTTGCGCTGTACCAGAAATGGAGCGGACAGCATCATTCATTTGTTGGATCACAAAGTCCCTGTTGGCCTTGGCAGTGGGTACATCAGGATGACGTACATAAGCCTAGGTATACATGTAATACTATTAGCAAAACTATTATACTACAATGTGTAGTTCCAGAAAATATCCATACTCCCCCAACGGAGGGAATCGGAAATCCGGGGATTGGGAGATTACTAATTTCTCCCAAAATTGGAAATTCTGGGGGGTGGGGGGTCATTGAAAAAAATCCCTCTATGGGGGGGGGATGGATATTTTTTGGAACTACACAATATAAAGATTAAAGATAAAAGGTTAGCAAATCATATAAATCGCAAGCAATTTGACAAAGGTTACCTTAGAAGATGATAAGAGCATCTTACTGGCATCCTTGAGTATTGCCCTTGCTGCAGCAATCTCATCTCTTCTTGAAGGGTCTTTCAGATCCTATACCAGATCAATGGTTTTATTCTAATAAGCATTTAAAGACGTTTCCATAAAGAATATGTTTTTTTTTTTTCAAGAAGTACCACAATTAAAAAAAATTATTTACGAAGTCATGTAAGAATATTACATAATCAAGACATGGAAAAAAGGCAAAGAAACACAAAAAGATGAATGGTTCATTACATAACTATAAATATCAGGATTCACTTACAGCTTGTCTTTTCCCAGAAAGTTTTGCCAAATCCATTAGATCATTACCAAGATTCTTAAAAGAGTTCAGTAAGTCWGCTGTATTGTTAGCTCCTTCAAGATCTTTAAGTCTTCGTTCAACCTAACAACACAAATCATAAACATCTTACACAAAAATCAATGACACAAAGATGAATACTTCATTATACTATGTACAGTTGAAAGGTAGGCAGTGGAAGGGACAAACAGAATCTGCATGGCAAACATTTTATTTGGATGTTAAGTTTATAAATATGCAAATGAATGCAGACCTTTCTCAAGCATATAATTACATTCACACTATCTAAWCATGATATGTCCTCACTAGTTTCAAGGAAGCCAGGAGACGATARACATCAGCCATGTCAGCAACACAAAGCAAACGTGTGACACTTGACAACAATCCTCTAGCTGCGCGAATCATGTTTGCTCGCTTAGAAGATGAACATGGATCATCTGCAAACTCTTTTGCACCAAAATGCATGGTGTCACCTATATGAAAAGAGATGACAGTGGTATATTGTAACGTTGATAGTCATTTCTTGCTATAAATTTGATGAATAAGGCATCAAAATACACACATAAAATAGGGTTTCTAGGGTAATGTGACAAACATTTTAAAATTGAGTGGAAATTGTAAAATATAATATACATGYATTATCCAGAAAATGCTGTATAGAATGAAATCATAACTGCAGCTCTATACAAATGCAGACCATGTTTTATCATTTCCTTACCTGTTTGCCTGCACTCCTTACAAGATGTAATCATTTCCTCACGTATCTCAGGAAAATCTTGTGCAATGGTTTCACCACTTTTGATCAAGCGCACTGTGGCATCCTCRATATCTTGTGCAAGCTTGTGGGCATTTTTAGACTTTCCAACCTTAGATCCCTTCTTTTTGGGCTTGTTTACAAGAGTTGTCACCTAAGGAATAACATAAAACATTTTAATAATATTGATAATTTTTATTACCAATATTATATTAATAATTTTTTGCTTATCAAACATTGACACACGGTGTATTCAGTATTATCTTTTATGAATCTGGGGATGGAGTTTGGACTAATTGCTGATGATGATTTTGGTTCAAAATATCGTCTTATCAAATTATTTTTCAAAACCTTTCACACAACTGGAATATTTCAAATTGCTCAATAACATCATTTATAATATACAACAACAAAAAGAAATTAGACTTGATAAGCAATTTTAATTTAAAATAATTTTTGGAATTATTCCATACTTATATAAAATGCACAATACGCATTAATAAAAAAAGACCTTGATATCCAAAATTGTCGCCACAGAATACAGTAGAATTCAATGTTAATTGCAACGTTTAGCATTYGAAGACTTTGAAAGTTTTCTGAGCGAGTAGCAATGTCAAACGAACAGTGATAATTGTCGACATACCCAGCACGAAGAAGCGATTGATCACACGATCGATAAACACAAACCACATTTTTGAACATTCGTTCTAATATTCCACGGGGTTTTGCATTTGGAAGCCACTAGACTTGAGAATAACAACAACATGCCAAATACCCCACCGCACCCTTCAAGACTCGACAGTAATACTTGAAAATATGCAAATAAAATCTTACTGTGCAAAGTTTTTATAGAACATTCAAAGTGTTTAAAGCTAACGGAGCAATATAGTCGACGAATGTTATATATTTAAGGAGTTATTCCATACCAAAACAAATCTAATTGATATTATTAACGAACAGATATGGAGAAAGTACAATTTATACTCGGCGTTTTGAGTTAATTTGCGGTAGAAATTTGCTATTCGCTGGCGATATTTTAATTCCAAACCCAAAGGGACACCTCGAAGATTCCAAAAATAGCAGAGGGAAGTCAAATTCACACCAAACGACCCATTAAATAAAAATATAAAAATCCAAACAACTTACTAAAATGATGCCGAACTTACCTGATATACGAGAGGTTCCAGTGCTTTCTCCACGGAATGTGTCCTGATTTCCAACGTTTTCGGATCCCATTTGACTTTATGATGCTCAAGTTTAACATCTCCGCTTGCCTGGTAGGCAGTTCGGCTCATTTTGGTCGAATTTTAGCTCAAAATAACGTTAAATTCGATCAAATACACAGTGAATTTCTTCCACCGAAAATTTTAGCTTKCTTACTCACACAACGAAATTAGCTTGATCCCTGTTTGACCACGTGACTATTGAGTATCCAATGACAGCCAATCAAAACGCTGGAAGGACGTCTAAACTATGTTGTGGGCGTTTTGTGGTCATTCCAGACAGCGGGGAGGCCAAGTATGATTGGACGATAACCTCACCGTTATTTTGGAATAATCGTCGTATTGTTTTGACTTTGAGTCCTGACAAATTACACATTTGTACGTAATATTTGATGGATCCTTTACTTGAATTGTTCTTTTCATTGTTGGAATAGAATTCTAGATTAGAAGAGAGGAAAATCCTATTTCACACTTGAGTTGGCTTGAAATATTGATAAAAAGGAAAAGATTTSTTCAGCTTCAGTGTTACTAGTAATYAATTMCAAGAGGGTCTTCAAGGGGTGAGATGAGTCTGAGATTATAGCCCTCTTTTTGACTTCAAAATTTGGGAGTGAATGCCCTGGAACTGGGAATTACAAAATAAGAATTGAAACTGGGAATGGTATTGACASTATAACAAAACTAACTATAACATGGTATTATGTGCTTTTGAGTGGCATCTAATCAAAATCAGTAAAATGGGAAAATGGGAAAATGGCATTAGTACCCCATTCAGGAACCTCTTCTAATAGGCGATATGCATTATGGCGTCATTTACTACAACTACCAAAATAAAACAAGATCTCTTTCAGTTAATTCAAATGAATCCCCAATCCTCCTCTTGCTAGCAGTGGGGGAACTACTCTAGCAAGAGGAAGGGACTACTGGGYGATGTACATTGCAAGAGGAGAGWATCACTTCATAGTAACTGCACGTCCAAGTTAATTCACCATTTATTTATTTAAAATTTAAAGAAGTACAAGTTTAAGCTGCAATCAATCTTTTTATTACACACTGAACCAGTAACATGAACATTTTTATGCATTTGAATAATTTGAAGTTATCATAATTTATCACAGACCTTTTTAATGCTTGTCTGAATGAAATGCCCAATAAGCAAAGTGGATTTCTTTACAATACCCCAAGTAATTACTTGCTTGGATAATTTCACTGATTTCCAAAACAATTCAATGAAAACCCTTAATAATCATAATCAATAAGCCTACTCAAAAAGCAATGAATTTATGACAGTGGCATTACCAGCATAAAAAGGTCTATCATTTTTCATTTTTTTCTGAGATAAACACAAATTTATAAGTATAAAAAAAATCYGAAAGCTAAAATCAAGAACTATTTACAAGTCTGCTAAAATCAAACTTTTACTAATGATCAAGACCACAAGGCAAAATCATACAATCTATTTTATTCAAAGAACAATGAATAATAACTTTTATAAYAAATGTTTGCATTTGACCATTAAAAAACATGATTGATCTTAGGTCTGACACCTGGACTCTACTATCATCAAATGTATATTGTTTTGTAATGTCAACTTCAACTCAACTGTATTTAGAAATATTGCACTAACTTTCCAGTGACAAGATTTAGAACTATTGATTTATAATATAATCTCAATTGTAAAATTCAAATATTAACTATCAATTTTAAAATTACTTTTATCTTCCTCCACCTTCATTGAGTAGAATAGCTCACTAATGACACCACTGCCCTTCTCTCTTTCAACCATAGTACCCTTGATAGCCATTCGATACATTGACCTAGTAATTTTTAGGTATCTCAAGTCACTCAGAACACGAACAGAGTAATCTGGAATGTAAACAACACTTCCTTTAGGAGTTGTGGTTGGAATACCAGAAGTGCTGTTGGAGAGTGGGTTGGATACTAAAGCTGGCGCTCCATAGCTGCTGAACTGACTTTCTTCAAAGACAAACTCCTCTTTTCCAACCTTCACCTCAACTTTTCCTTCCAAGATAAGTACAAAGTAATCTGCAGGCACACCTCTAGAGTAGAGGTAGGTTTCATCACGGTCGTCAAGTTCTTGAAGCTTTATCTCAACTACAATATCATGGCTAATGAGTTTCTTGAGGACATTTTTTGAGATCGTGTCTTCATTGAATGCATCAATAGCTAAAGGTAAAAATAATGTCAGTGCTAAGATCTTTATGAAAGGCTAACATRATGAATTCAAGATGTAGTATGTCAAAGTAATAAGATATTATTTTTTCATGTTAATATAAAGAGGACATTACATGACTGCATAAAGATATGGATTTTATCTTTGAGTGTTAACAGATCTCTCAAGAATGATTGAGCAATTTTCAACACGAGAAGATAAAATTCATATCTCCAAGCGACCATGTAATATTCTGTTTATCATATAATTATAATTATATGAAAGCAAATTATCTCATAAAATACCTTTTTTTACTTCCAATATATAGAGAAACCTTGAATGTATTATTTTCACTAGTGAAAATAACAACTTTTTGAAAGAGAGAAAAATAGGTATTTCATATGTARATAATTATATGATAAATTACAGTTTCTATTCATTTGTAGATTTATAATTACATGAAGCGACAGACAGTTATTGTTATTAAAGTGGTTAGTCATAAGGCCGGGACARCATGCATGATTGATGTATTGGAATACAATATTGATACTGAATGCCTAGACCATGCCTTTGTATTATGTACTMTTACCTGTTGACAGATACTGATAAACAGCCAGAGCCAGATGAGGTGAAATTTTAGGACGTTTTTCTTGAGTTTCAGTGAAATATGCAAAGTCTTGCTTTTTTCCAACAACTTTGCCTGATTTGTTATCCACTTAAACAAAAAAAGTTATAAACCAAAAAAATTAAAAGTCACAAATTATATTTGATCTTATTCAAACTAGTTGTTAATGTACAGTATCATACATAAGAGTCATGCAATTAATAGTATTTTTCTCCTTCTTTTCCTTCCTTTTGATAACTTATACTGTTTCTTTGACATCTCAAGGGTGAAAATAAACCAAAATAAGGCCATCAATGCTTCTTCAAAATAACAACTTTTCAAAGTTTCAAAACTGTTTTTCAAAGAGTAAATAGAGTTGATTGAATCACAAATTTAATGAAGAAAAGGCTCAGCACCAATGTCTTCTTTTTTCATTAATATAATCATCTTTTTTAAAAATGCATGTGTGTGCGTCCAAACAATGACTAAGTATTCAGCATATAAAATGCTGGTTGTATAATAATAGGTGGTAGAATACCGTTATACTTACAATATACATCTGTTTCATCAACAATCTCCGACTGAATGATTTCCTCGATGACATCCTCAAGCGTCACAATACCAACCCCCTCATAGAAAGGATCCCCCTCTCCTTCATCATTCACTCGCTGGACAATTGCAAGGTGGGAATGCTCCTCCTTGAACTTTTCCAGCAACTTATCAAGATGTGTATCATAAAATACGCGCTGAACGGGATGGTTGTAAAACTTTAAGACAGTTTTCAATGGTGTACAATCATCAGGATCTACAAATGCTAAGTCTTTGACAAACAACAAACCAATGATATTAAACCTTTCATCTTCATATACAGGAATACGACTGTGACCAGAGTTCATTATCATTGCCATTGTCTTAAAATCAAGTATTGCATCAACTGGGATAAGAAATGCATCTTTCAATTTTGTCATAACTTCTTCAACTGTTTTTGTCCCATAATTCAGTGCTCCTGTAATGATATTCATCTCATCCCCCTCTAGGTCATTGTATTCATCAGTGACCTTTAGCATTTCAATTAGTTCTCTTTTATTATAAATCGTTCCAAGTTCTTTTCCAAGAACACAATCCAATATTCTACTTATTGGGAACGAAAGAGGAAATGTTAATACCATGAACATTTTAGTTATCCAAATAGTTTTTGCACCAACTGCTAAGCCATGCCTAGAGCAGATACTTTGAGGGACTATTTCACCAAATATAACAATGCCAAGAGTCGCCCCAACAACCGATATCACTCCGCTTCCTATGATTCCATCAAGTAAAACAGTAAAAGAAGTGTTCACTAAAACATTACCCAGYAATAAAGTRCAGAGCARATAGTTTCCACGCTTTCTGATTGGCTCAATCTTCTTGGCGTAATTTTGTTCACTTCGTGTGCCACAATTTGTCACAATTTTCAATTCAGTGGGGTCTAAAGCCATTAAGCCAAGGTTTAATCCTGAGAAAAGCCCTGAAAGCATCATAAGTACTACGATAAACAAAAGTTTTAGCCATAGTGGTAAAGGGTCTTCTTCTATCTTCTCAGGTACTGAAGAAATCTTCAAATCTGTGCTATTGCCCTGGAATGTCCACGAGCTGCTTCTGTCAGCTCTCAAACACACATAAAAGAACTCTCCTTCTTGTGGCTTAGGAAGTTTGACTTTCGCTTTCGCTGAAGTTCTTTCTAGCTTTTCGGTTTCCAATTGCACGGTCGGTGTCTCCCTGTGATCGTCACAATCTTGTCCATTTGGCGGGATTTTGGAGGTGAAGGATATCTGTATGTTGGGKTGCAAGTCGCTTCCAAACACTCTGATGAGAGTGGTTTTTCCCGYCGTAACTTGAAGTATTCCATTTTTTACTTTGCTTTCAGAATCGCTAGGACTAAAASCTATTAATTGTGGTTCACATCTGAAAGATTTTAGAAAGAAAATAGTTAAAACAAACCAAAATAAAATGCGGTTATTATGGGCCAGTTTAAATATGGCTGCCATTCGCGATATAATCGCAAAGCTTCGGAAGTCTCGTGATTGGCAGGCGATTAGTGAAAGTAATTTGCATATGCTAGTACCAAATATGGGTGCATAAATTAACATAATCGCAATTATTTCTTTACGCTTTATTTCTACCAGTTAGAAATTTCAATATGTTTATTTATTATGCAACATTTTGGTGCGGCGAAGCAAATTATTATTTTTTAATAAATTCTATAATGTTATATGAAATATGCTCATTTCTGGCTTGGAAATATTTTTTTTCTTAGTCGTGGAGTTCCTGTGGAAAGTCAAAGAGGAAAGAAAATTTTTGGCGCGAAATGCTAACCTCTTCAGCCGAACCTCAATTACTAGGACTCCATTTGACTTTTGAGGGAGTAGGGCTGATGTTGTCGGATTTTACCTTTTGTGTTATTTCCTTTATAATCTAGAACGGCGTCTGTCAGGGCATCTGAAATAGATACAATTTTGAGTGAAAACAGAAGTTATGTACTTCTGGTGAAAACCATACAAACAATAAAGTCAGTAACCTGCAGAGGAAATCACGCTTGAAGGGTARCAAGCAATCAATGCGAATCAGTTTCCGATGTAGAAGCTTATGGTGTGCATTTCCAATAGTAAATGAAGAATTAACGCCATCAGACRTCGGAATTCTAAGAAATGTAGACTGGTGATCCGTTCTTTAAAAAAACATTTTCACCACTACAAAATACTCAATCTCCCAGTATAATCCAGTACTTAACTTTTACAGCCGTTACGGATAACACGTAGGTAGTCGAACGAAAAATCTTACTGGATTCATGTATTTTATAGATGTCAATCATAGACATTTCCATGACTACCATTGGATAGCTCCTCCTCCAACATGAATAGACCTCKGCAGCTTTTACGTCATGTACCGTATACGCAATGCATTGTAGGACATGTTTGGGACAGAACATGGCGGATTTCTTTTGTTTTCTCTTGAAACTGATCCCACAATGCATTGAAAATCAAGTAGTGACGTAAAAGGTTCAGAAGTCTATTGGTTTCCTCGAATATCGACAAAACTAGCCAAGAATGTTCGAAGCGTTTTCAAATTCTTTGCGTTGAAGAGTGATAATTCTTCAAACGGAGAGGGCTAAGTATATTTCAGAAATTTTGTAGTACTTTGTGTGTATGTACCCATCACCCCCCTCCCCCCGGGCAAACCCCGGGCATTTGACACGACTTTACCTCCGTACAGTGGGGAATTTGACTCTGATTTAGGAGCAGACGGGCGGGCATTTGATGAGTAGGCGACCATCTTGGAAATTAGTATCGATTCAGATGCGAAACCGCTATTTCGTGACACTAATACGAACTTTTATTAAGCTTAAGTTAAAAATAAAAATATCTCGGAAACCTAAGCATTTTAATCATAATAATACGTATTATTTATGTAGCGCCGATATCCGGGCATTTGACCACTCATTTGCTTTTACTAGTGTGGGTATTTGACTGTCAATTTTGCCCACATGGTGGGGAATTTGACCAATTTTTTACCAAAAAGTCAAATGCCCGGTAGTTCACTCATACATTAGTGAAGCATTTGTTTCGAAAATACAGAGACTTTACACACTTGATGTCAGTTATCCACCTAGAAGAAAGTCAAAATATCGGTCTTTGACAGGTAATATTATTCGTATTTCATCATTTTCTATCCTTTCGGGCAGTAATTGAATGCTTTAAATCGATTCATGTTGGTATTTCTTGCATATAGCCGCAGATATCCTGATTATTAGACGTTTAATAGCGACAATAATTTCCCAAGCTGTTCTGACATCAAGTGCATTTGTGTATAAAGTCGATGTATTTTCGGCGAAACGAATGCTTCACTTACACACAATGTACTAGAATATCGAATTTGAAAACGCTTTGACCATGTTGACCATTCTTGGCTAGTTTTGTCGATATTCAAGGAAACCAGTTCATGTTCGGGGGGAGGAGCTATCCAATGATAGTCATGGAAATGTCTATGATTGACATCTATAAAATACATGAATCCAGTAGGATTTTTCGTTCGACTCCCTACGTGTTATTCGTAACGGCAAAATTTCCAATTTTATTAGCTACTTTCTATCAATTTTCTAACTATTCTATTATTTCTCAATATTTCTTGAATTCATTCCTCCCTTCGACTGTGACGTTTTGCGCAACGTTTCTAAGAAACTTGCAGAGTGACTGATGTTCGAGTAAGGCTGATTCTAGACACAGGGTAYTGGGCAATATTTATCAGCAGGGGGGGGGAGGGGAGTGAGAAATGAGCTAAAAATTTAAAAAGTTAATTACGAAATAAATTATGCTCTGCCCCTCTATCATTTATCAGTATATGGAAAACTTGGGCTACCATGTCCACCACAGCACCCCAGTTGACAGATTTTGTGCAAATTCGTAGGACTAAACATGGCTGTTTAGTGCATTGCGCACAGAGCTCTGTCCTTGTTACATTGGTATAATATCACGTTGTTTCTGACACCTTTGAGTTTTTAGTTTCCAATTAAAGTCAAATGGCATCCCCCACTTCCTTCACTAGTGAATTATAGACGTTGCTCCCCTCTTTAATCACATAAAATTTGATTTTGCCCTCTCCACCCCCCCCCCCCCTTATGAATATTGCGTAGTCCCTAAGTCGTTCCTCAATAGGGGCGCAGCATCCTATTGGCAAATACGCTAGTGCGTACTTAAAAATAATTGCAAATYAAGTTTAAAAAATAATTCCGTATTATTTTTTAGCGATAATTTATTCATTTTAGCGAGGTGGCGGAATGAAAAGCAACAGTACAAGAACTCATTCTTAGGCTACGWTAGCAACTATTCTAATATATTCTAAACCACCCCATATTTATCTTTCATATAGGCCGACAGAGGTAAGAAAAAATTATCAAAAACGACAAGGATATCAGGATATGTTCAATTTAAAGGGACAC